CACGCTCTGTAAAAATAAGAATATTTATGGCATTGTCATTATTTTGTGAGTGAAGTGAGAATGTGTAAATATATTTTGAAAATTAACTGTAAATATATTCCATTTGGAGTGTCTTTACTGAAGTAAATACTTTTGAATTTTGTATTTTTCATCCCTCCATTAATTTTGTCTGTGAAAGATATGATTACTATTTCCTTTGTTGAAAAGGAAGAATCAATACTCATTTACAAGGCCACCTTTAATCTCTCATTATCTCTGCTTCAGGGGCTTTGAATTTATCCTTAAATTAATATAATAACCTGTGGTCTTTACCTAAATAACTTTGAAGGTTGTGGTTTTTATTTAAATAACTAGGGAAGACACTTTTGATGACTTTTAGAATATTAACATCATTTAGGTCAAACTGTATAGCTAATAATCATGCAAATATGGCACACATTTATTTTCTCTCCTAAATTAATAATTAAAAAAAATTTTTAAATCAAGCAATTCCAAGAAAAAAAAAACACATGGTTGGTATTTATTTAGCACTTAAGCTATAGCTCAAGGGAACACATAGCAGTATTATATCTTTGGTGATCAAAATAAATAAACTGAAATGTTAAGAGCATAAAGAATTGGATTTGAAATCCGATAGATCTGGTTCAAATTATATGCTGATGGTCTTAGGCCATCATTTAGCCTCTTTGCATCTCAGTCTCCACATCTCTAAAACAGGAATAATAGTTACCTTACATTCATTCCTTCAACATATATTGTGAGCCCCCAAAATGCTCGGTTACAGCTATAAACAAGACAAGCTCCTGCCATTCCATAGTTTACACTATAGTAGGAGGGGTAAATAAGAAACAAAAACACAGAACTAAAATAATTCCATATAAGTGGTGAATGAAATAAAGGAAATAAATCAGAGTAACAGGGTGAAAAGTGATGGGGGAGCATAGAGAAGGGGTGTGGCCATCGGATCAGGGAAGTCTTCTTTGAGGAGGCAGAGATTTCAAGCTTAGACCCAACTAATGAGGGGAGAGACATGGGTATGTCTAGAGGAGCAGTACCCAGGAAGTGGAAAGTTCTTGAGGCAGGAAAGAATTTAGCATTTCTTAATGACCAGATTGAAGGCCTATGGAGTTAGAAACTAGTGGGGGGAAAAGGGGAGTGTGTTATGATATTCAGACGATATTAGGAGGAGTAGGTAGACAGGGTTGAGGTCACGTATAATAAAGAATGTGGATATTATTCAAATTGCAATGGAAGACATAAGCTGACCCTAAACAAGAAATTGACACTGCATAATTTACATTTTAAAAAGATCCCTAAAAAAAATCAATGGAAAAAAGATCCCTCATAGTTCATAAGTTTGCAAGGATTACTTATGTTCCTTTATACCAGTAATAGATAGTTTAAAAATATCTTAAAAGATACAATTTATACATTTTAGGATCAGATTGTTAAGCTTCATAAAGGAAAAAAATCCTCTTGAGATTTTTAATTGAAATCATACTGAATTTATCACATAACTTGGAGAAAATTTATATCTTTGTGATATCAAGACTTTGCATTCATGAACATGATATAGCTTCACTAATTTAGGCCTACTTTAATTTTTTTTCCTGTTAATCCTCACCTGAGGATACTTTTTCCATTGATTTTTAGAGAGTGGCAGAGAGAGGCAAAAACAGAGAAATTTCAGCGTGAGAGAGACACATTGATTGGTTGCCTCTCATAGGCACCCTGACCAGGGCCAGGGATGGAGCCTGCAACTGAGGTATGTGCCCTTGACCAGAATCGAACCCGGGACCCTTCATTCCATAGGCCAATGCTCTGAGACAACCAGCTAGGGCAGGTGTACTTTATATCTTCCAAAAATGTTTATTTATAGAGTGCTTCCATGAAGATCTTTAAATTCTTTAACTTATTCCTATTACCACTTTTGTTGTTGCTTTTATTTTTAGCTTCTGGCAATAATATTGAAATATATTGATTGAAATGATCCTCTAAGTCCTATGTTACTTTAGAGAAAATTTTGCTTATGTGTATAAAGAGACATCGAAATATTCATGGCATCATGGAATCTTGGAGTTACAAATATACAGCAGTAAAAAAATGAATGAAATGCAGCTGGAGCTACTGAGGTTGACTCTCATAAAGAGAATACTGAGGGGAAAACTGAAGAAATAAAACTGCAGAAAGGTATGTATAGTGATAATAAAATTTATGTAAAACAACATATTGTTATGACTATATGTAGATATAATAAAAGTACAGACATGTCATGGGAAGGATGACATGGGAACCATGAAAATCAGGACAGTTTTACTCCTGGGGAGTGGAAGGTGAATGGTATTAAGGAAGGACACGGGAGACTTCAATTATGAGATTCCATATTTCATAAGCTAGGTGTTAGGTACATGATTATTTTATTCATTATGTTTTTGTAAACTGGACATATTTTATAACAACTTTTAAAAGGAGAAAAGTAAGTCTAGCTTATGAACTGAAGCATGAACTACCAAGGGCTAAAAGAGGGAGAGAGGAGGCACGTTAGGGACACTCGCTGTGCTCCTGAAGGGTGGAATTGGGTATCTAGCAGTTTCTGGCATAGTCCGTGTTTAACAAATGGTAGTTATTATTGAGGTGGTTGCTATCATCATCATCATCATCATCAGGGCAAAGATCAAAGACATTGGGGGGACTGTGAAAAAAGAGAAACTAAAATGTTTCAAGTAGCTATGTTGTACTAGGTGCTTTATTTATCCTTTGGTCTTACCTAGAATCTAGTTATAAAGAATCTAAGGCTCAGAGAAAGGCAGGAGGCTCAAGGCTACATACATGTCTAATGACTCATTTTTCAATGTTGTTTAAAACATACACTCTCTCCCGCCAAGATACACACACACCCTTTCCCTGTCTAGCATTTGAAAAAAATTCAAACATCTTTTCTCTTTGGTTCTTAAGTAGCATATTTTGAGTTAACGTTTAATAGCTCGATCCACCAAACACTTGGATTAGTGCCTTGTTACTTATCACAGAATACTTTTGGATCGCTCTCAATTTTTCACTTGATCCTCCAAACAACTCCGAGGAAGGGCAGTTGATCATTCCTGTTTTACAGATGCGTAAACTAAAACCCAAAGAGGCTTCCTCAGAAATCCTTAGCCCGTGTGACCATGAACTTCATGAGTTCCTATGTTAAGTAGCTTATGACTGAATGGGCACTTTTCTAGGTTGAGGGTTAACGTTCATTGTATTGTAAAGGAGTTCACGACTCCCCCAGAAGGTTTACGAAACAGTGGGTTAAGCAGGGTCCTGGTGCAGCCAAGACCCCAAGCCATTTCCTCCGACCTCACACCCTGCCTTCTTCTCATTACGACTCACAGCATCAACCTTCCAACTGGAGCTATTACTGGTGGAATACGATTTGTACTGTTTACCCACCGCTAAGGCGCAAGTGTTATTCAATTTACGGAAACATCTTACCTGGGGAGTTTGTCCAGCTGCTGGGCACTCTAATCTACAGGGTGTTATATTTCAAACGAACAAGTCAAGAGCTGTTCCTACAAGCCCCAGCACAAACTTGCTAAGAAAAGGAATCTGACGCAGTGGCTATGTAACGTATTTTACAATTGCGAGTAATCTATAAACAATAATCACGGAAAAAATTAAAATCCTGAGACATAGCTTCTCGATCTGGAGGCGGGAAGCAGACCATGAGCGGATTTTCATTTCTCCTGGGCCGGTTACCGTATGTCTCAGGGTCCCCTTTCTCCCAGATGGAAAGGGAAGGATTAAAGCGGATCGCTCTCTCCGAAACCCTTCCCACTCCACCACCTTTGCAGCTTGGACAGGACTGAGGAGCGCCAATGGGTATAAACTCGTGGCACAGCCTGTGAATGTCGGCCGCATTTTCCCCATGAGAAAGGCCTCCAGCGTCCAAGGGGGGCTAGCGGTCATGAACCCCAAGTGTCTGGGGGTCGCACTAGACCTGCCCCTTAGGAAGGCCAAGCCTGCAGCCCACTTTGGGTGATGTCAGGGTGGGCGGAGAGGATGCCTGGCAAGGTCCGGGGGGATTTCACAGGAACCCAGTGCTCTCAATCCCGCCCTGAGGAATGCAGGCAGGGAACGCCCCAGCCCAGCCCGGGGGAAGGGAGCGGGTGGGGTGTGCGAACGTTGCAGGCGGGGCTTCGGCCCGAGGCGGTTCTTGTAACCGCAGCACCGCACCCCCCGCGGAGCCCGGGCGCCGGGCTACAGGCCGGGGCTGAGCTGGGGGAGCGGAGCCGCCCTGGGAACCTCCCGGCCGCCGCGGCCACGTGACCCAGTGCGGGGGCGGGGAGAGGCGCGCCCCGCCCCGCCCCCCCACGCATGCGCGCGGCTCCCGGCGCTGAAATTCAAATTTGAACGGCAGCCGGAGCCCGAGTCCCACACTGGAGGCTGCGGGGGGCAGGAGCGCAGGCTGGGAAGAGTGTCCCGGCCCTGGACTCCTCGTTCTCTCCCGGCGACACGCCGAACTGGGACTCACTTCTTTCCTTTTCCGGAATTTGAACCACGGCCTCCGTCGTCTCGCAATCGACACGCGAAGCCCGGGGCGATGGACCCGTTTACGGAGGTGAGGGAACCTGGGGGCGCCGCCGGGCATGACCCTTCTCGGCCCCCACCCGCCCTGCCCACCTCCTGTCTACCTCCGGGACCCCCGGGCGGAGGGCGCGTGCGCGCGCGTGCGCAGAGCCTGCGTGCGGGGTCCCGCGGGGGCCGCCGGGAGGGGCCGCGGGGCGCCCACCTCGGCGGCCCGTCCGCACTCTCCCGCCCGGGAAACCTGGGGAGGGGCGTGTAGAGTCTGTCCCAAAAGGTAGTGAAAGACGTCCGGTCGGCCCGGTTGTTAAGGGGATGCCCCCGTGGAGTGGGACCCTGTCCCCCCGAGAGGGAGGGTGGGGTCCGACGGAACAGGTCCCGCTGGGAGCGCCCGCGGCGCGCCGGCTCGGGCGGAGGCCGGTGCCCGGGTGACTCACCGTTGCATGTGCAACCGCCGCCGGGAGATGGAATGGGATCTGCGGGATCCGTGCGGCCCGCCGGGAGCTACGGGTGCCTTTGAGGCTGCGGTTCCCGAGGTAACAGCCGAGCGATGGAATAAGCTGGCGCCTGAGACCGTCGCCTCCGCTCCCGGAAGGTCAGACGGTTCTGCAGATCCCGCCGCTCGGCCGGCCGGGCTGAAGGTTCATCCCGCTTGGCCGCACATTGAAAGGGAAAGCAGTAGCTGGACGTGTACAAATCAAGTTTACGAGCCCACGGCCCAGAGTAAAGAAATAAACCTTTTTATGTGTGTTTATGGGTGACATCGCCGCAGGGTTCCACTCCCCTTTCGGTCCGGGGAACTGGATGCGGGTAATTACATTCTTACTGTGTGATTAATCCTCCGGCTCTGACCCGTGCGGCATGGGCGGTTCAGGGGTTGCGTGTTGCCAGCTGTGTCCACTCTCTTTTCTTCCTCTTTTTAAGGTGGTTGCACAAGCTTCAAACTGTTGTTTTTTGAGTTTCTGCAAAGGGAACCTAAACGTCTCTACATCAGATTAAAAAACTTAAATGCTTTGGAGAGTAATACTTTTTTTTTTTTGGAAATGTAATTATAATTCCATAAAGTGTAAGGTATTTAAAAGTTTCAACAGTTAGACCTTACTTGTTTTCAGACACAACAGTATTTGTTATTATTTTTTAAAAACATATTTTTATTGATTTCAGAGTAGAAGGGTAAGGGAGAGAGATAGAAACATCAATGATGAGAGAGAATCATGGATCGGCTGCCTCCTGCGCGCCACCACTGGGGATGGAGCCCACAACCCGGGCATGTGCCCTTGACTGGAATGGAACCCGGGACCCTTCAGTCCACAGGCCGAGGCTCTATCCACGGAGCCAAACCGGCTAGGGCATATTATTATTATTTTTAATTCTCACCCAAGGATGTTTTTCCATTGATTTTTAAGGAGAGTGGAAGAGAGAGGGAAAGACAAAAATATCGATGTGAGAGAAACACATTGATCGGTTGGTTGCCTCCTGCACGCCCCACCAGGGCCCGGCAGGGTGGAGCCTGTATCTGAGGTAGGTGCCCTTGACAGGAATCGAACCCAGGACCCTTTGGTCTGCAGGCTGACTCTCTATCCACGGAGCCACACCAGCTGGGGCAACAGTATTTTTGTTTCAAGTTCTCAATCATCTTGGGAGAAAACACCAGTTTGCTTACCTTTTTATTTTTATTTTATTTTATTTAAATCCTCACCCGAGGATATTTTTTACCATTGATTTTTTTAGCGAGAATGGAAGAGAGAGGGGCTGTTTACTTTACTTTTAAAAATTCTCACAAAAATCCAGAACTTTTTTTTTTTTTTTCAGAACACATCTTTGTATCAGCTTTAAAGAATAGGCCTGGTCATGCACCATATTTTTCACTTAATTGAAATTCTCATGGATATTTTTTTAATGTTACTAACTTAGAATGGGATTCCTTAAAACATTAGTCCTCTGTGTTCTGAATAGTTTTTTTTTTTTTTATTCTCCCAAGTAGCTAACAGGAACAAAGCATTTTGAATGTTGGCTGAAAACGTTAAAAATGTCATTCTGAAGCAGTACAAATCTCAATTGAAAGAAACTTTATTTGAAAGAAACCTTTCTTTTTAGCATGTGCTCAGAAATATGTATTTAATATGTATGGTTTGTATTATGAAAAGTTAGGTCCGTTGCAGTTGGAATAAATGGCTTTGACATCTTTCCCTTAATTGGTAGTGAGTGAACTGTTTGAATTGGTTCCCACCAGTAGGTGCTTAATTACAGCATTCATAACATTTTTGCACAGTGAAGTGAACTGGCACAGTTCCTTGTCTGAAAGGACTGAAAGTCAGTTGAAATGACTTTCTCAACGAGCATTTCTCATCAGAACCATAGAGCACAGGAGATGGAGAGACCGTTTTCTCAGTTTTCCCGTGCCCTCCTCCAAGCATAGCAGATACTTTATTGGTGACATTGATGTCAGGGAGCCAGGGCTTACTTCTCCAGGTAACTGGTTGAGAAAGGCTGCAGCCCCCTAACCTCCGTTTTCCTGGGTTCTCCCTGCTGCCGCTGGTGCTCTCTGGTACACTCTTCTCCCTGCTCTTCTGCCTGGCAAACTCTGGTTTAACCTCTTGCCACACTGATCTCCCTGCTTCAGAGGAGAGGACACCTTTCACAGTGCTCAGCTCACTTGCATTTACCTCTTGAGCATGTTACTTGCTGGATGTAAGCTTCTCGAAGGTAGGCCTGTTTTTTCTATTCAGAGAGAGGTTTCCCTCACCTCAAGCACACCCAGTAACAGTGCTGAATTAATATAGGAGAGAGCCATTCCGTGCTATTACTTTACAATCAAGTAATTACACACCACAGTAGCTGTTAGGGCATTTTAGCAGTGTTTTTAAAGTGTAGAACATTTCGAATGACACAGGCATGATAACCTCTCATGCACCCATTACCCAGCAGCACAGGCCAGTGTTTCACTGAATTATTTGAAAGCAAATCCTAGAGGTCATATAATTTCATGCTTAAGTATTTCAGTGTTTACCACTAAATGCTAAGGACTTTAAAAGCAAAACATCAATATGCCATCACACCTAAATAGTAACAGTTCCTTAATATCAGGTATCCCGCGAATGTTCAGATTTCCCTAAGCATCTAATGCTTTTGCAGTTTACATGAATCAGGATGTAGACAGGGTCTTTAAAGTTTTACATGGACCAACCGGAAGTAATGACTGCATCTCGGTTCATGGGTGAACAAGCAGTTTCAGCAGATGTTTATTATGATGATCTGATATGAGCTGATAGCATTAAAAAAGTTATGTTGATGATATGGAGTTAGTTCTCTGACGAAAGTTCTTCAAATGAGCAATTGGATTTTGTCAAAAGACAAGTTTATGGCAAAGTAAGATCCCCGACTCAGGAGCCCTTGTTTGAATTCTGCCTCGCCTTTCCTTAGCTCTGTGACCTATGGCTTGTTATGCAACCCATGCCTGGATTTCTTCATCTCTAAACAGCAGTAAAAAGAGAGCGTCCCACATAAGGTGGTTTTTGTTTTTGTTTCTAGGCTTTGAAAATGAAATGAGTTAATGTGTGCAAACACTGAAAGTACTTTATATTAAATCCTACACAGTGTTAGTGATTGTTGTACTGTTAGGTGAATTTACACTTACACATAACATTGGTGTTAGCCTCTTAATTTAAAGATCCGCCCATGGGCAATGGTCATCCCAGTCCAAGACAAGCATAGGGAAACCAGGGCTAGGTGTGCCAAGTCAGAACATTCTGTGGAGGAACCCTAAAAGAGAAAAGGCTACAATGAACGTACTTTATAAAACACCTTTCCTTGAGATAAAAACAAACATGCTGTTACTGTTTTGTAGGCAGCCTTTCTTATTTTCCAGAATTGTGACAGTCTCTATTGACCCAGGAGGGAATGCTACTGGAGTACACTGAGAATAATAAGTTAATTTCTGCCCTAGCTGGTTTGGCTCAGTAGATAGAGCGTTGGCCTTTGAACTGAAGGGTCCCAGGTTGGATTCCGGTCAAGGGCACATGCATGGGGTTGCAGGCTTGATCCCCAGTAGGGGGCGTGCAGGAGGTAGCGAATCAATGATTCTCATTGAAGTTTCTATCTCTCTCTCCCTCTCCCTTCCTCTCTGAAATCAATAAAAATATATTTAAAAAATAAGTTAATTTCTATTGAATCTACTCTGTTTAAGAAGGCAGGGAGTCAGTAATCCTTCCTAGAAAATTTTTGTCACAAATGATTCAAAGTGTGTGTGGCAGAAATTGCTTAGGGACTATATGCTTCAGTTATCTTAGATTTATCCATGTGGAGTATCTTATGTCCTAATTCTGTTAATTATTGCAATGTTTTATTTTTTTATTCCTCTACTCTTTGAAGGAATGTACGTTATAAACAAAGAATCTTTAACTTCCTGATACACCATTATAAGGAAGGGTGACTTACATTTACTGAGCTGTTGTTTTTATATGTATATCATTTCTTTTAAATTAATAACCTTTGGTATTTATTAGTTTTTGTTTTACAGAGTAGCGAACGTGTTTTTTTGTTGTTGTTGTCTGTTTTGTTTTTTCTCTTTTTACTTATCTATTTTTAATTTGGAAAAATTTGGATCCAGAGTAGACAATAGGACAGTTGTGTCAGTTAGAATGACACAACCACATTCTTTTGTTGTGACCCATTGCTCATAGTAACTGAAGATACACTGACTCACAAGTATTCTAACAGACTGGAATGGGATGTGGGCATGTCCATGAGTGAATATAATTAGGCTAGTTTTGTCCGGGGAGTGATTTTATTGCTGGAGAAATGATCAGACATAAATTTGTCTATCACCTTTGAGTTTATGCAAGACTTTTATTTAAAGGGGGAAGGTTTTGTGTTTTGGAAGGCACTTGGTTCATAAATCATCCTGTCAGTGCCAGAGCATTTAGACTTTGTGCCACTTTTTTCAACCAACTTTAAAAAAATTTTTTTTTATTGATTTTAGAGGTGGGGGAAGAGACAGAGAAATAGAAACATCAATCTACTGCCTCCAGTACATCCCCTACTGGTGATCCAACCCATAACCCGGGCATGTGCCCTGACAGGGAATCGAACCCTTGGCCTCTCTGTGCACAAGATAACGCTCAGCCAACGGAGCCATACTGGCCCGGGCTCAATGGACTGTAAGTTAGAAATCATCCTGAGGAGAAGAGAGAGTTGAGCTTTCTTCCCAACTTAGCTCATGCTTCAGAGGATGAAAAAAAAGTTATTTTAATTAAGGAATGAAAAGGCCAGATGGAGTTTAATTTCTTAGTCTGCCAAGTACTGTACCTGTGCTGCAGGGCAGTACATAAACTCCAGCCAGCAATCTGCCCTCCCTCAGTTGTGTGCATTTGGCAGAGAATGAGCTGTTTTACAGGTCTCGTGTTTGTCTTGCCACAATTCAAACAGGAGCGTCAGAGTTCATAAAAGTATTGATAACTTTATGAAATGGCTCAGATTTCAACATAAAACTTTTATATTGACATTTAATTAAGTAAAACATTAAGATTGGTTAGTGTATTTTTTTCCTCTTTGGAAGTGTCTTATGTTTTCAGTTATCTCTTGCTGTTTACCACCCCAGATCTCAGTGGCTGTATTCGTGTTGCTGCTGTACCAAATGACCACAGACTTGGTGGCTCAGAATCACACCTTTGCTTCGTAGGTCAGAAGTCTGATGGGTTTTACTGGGTTAAAATCAGGGTGCAGACAGGATTGGGTTCCTTTGGAGATTCTAGGGGAGAATTTATTTCCTTACCTTCTCCAGCTTCTGGCGCCTCCTGCACTTCTAGGGTCCTGTCCCCCTTCATCCACCTTCACAGCCACCAGTCACGTCACTCTGACCTCTGCTTCCCCTGCCACCTCTTCTCTGCCTCTGAGTTTCCTGCCCCTCTTTTCCCTTATAAGGGCCATTGTGATTACATCGGTCCAGATAACCCATGATGGTCTCTCCATCGCCAGATTCTCAACTTAGTCACACCAGCAAGCTTCCTTTGGCCATGCAACATATTCATAGTTTCAGGACAGTAGGATATGAGAATCTTTGGAGACCATTATTCTGCCCACCTACCTTAGTGCTTAAAACAATGACCACACTATTTCTTTTTTTAAAAATATGTTTCCACTGATTTTTAGAGAGAGGAAGGGAGAGGGATGAGAGAGGAGCATCCTTAATCGGCTGCCTCCTGTACATCCCTTACCGGGGATGGAGCCCACAACACTGGTAATCGAACCGGTGACCTCTTGGTGCATGGGTTCCCCTGTTTGCTTACCACTCAGTCCACCGAGCCACACCAACCGGGCTTTACTCCCCCTTTAATGTTCATATTACATCAGGTGTAATTTTGACATTGGGGTGCTCATTTAGTGGATCTTGAATGCCTTAGGATTTCACTTTTGAAATGTATTAACTCTTTTTCTGCATGGCAATTGGTGATTTTAGAAGTTACCTGAAGTTTAGCGAGGCTTTGACTAAACCGTATTTTAAATATTATCTATGTAGAAACTACTCGAACGAACCCGTGCCAGGCGAGAAAATCTCCAGAGGAAGATGGCCGAGAGACCCACGGCAGCACCGAGGTCTGTGCCTCTCGCCAAGCGTGCCAGAGAGCCGCTCGCAGAAGCCAGTAACCAGCAACCCCTGCCCGGGGTGCAAGGTAGGACTGTGAGGTGATGGAAGGAGAGGAGCCCCAAACATAACATTTCCTCGTGCATGTGCAAGAATCAGCACCTGGGGGAGGCAAACGTAGCAGCCCCTGGGGAGCGACCAGCCTTCTCCCTCTGTGCCAGGATTATGTTTTGTGTTAGGCCTAGAGCCCTAGACCCTACTGGGCCATGGCAGAGCTTCCTTTAACAAATAGTTCAAATTAATCGGTTGAACTTTATTTTCCTCAATGCAAACTTATTCTGAGTGTGGAATAGTCTGGAGATAATCCTTGGTATAACTTTTAAAGCACAGGTAGAAAAACAGGTTACAGAGATAAGGGCTTGGGGCTGGCTTACAGTTATTTTGGAAACTAACCATAGAATGATAATTTATTTTCACATATTTATGTTGAGGGAAGGGAGGGGAATACGTTACATATAGATGGTATTCGGCCAGGAAAATAGAGGCCTGGCTCAGTCCAGGATCTTCTGCTTTTGCTGTGACATGGGTTCGTACAATCACATAGTGAGTGCTGTGTGCTTGAAAACCAGAGGTTGGGACTACATTTTGATGCTAAAATGTAGGTATTTACTGTTGTTCACAAGAACTGTAAATGTAAAGGATTCTGTTTTTCCAGGTGGTATTGCATGTTAAAATAGAAACATGTTAAAAATGATCAGCTAGGTCAATGGAAAATGAGTTACAGAAGAGTAGAAAGTTTCATGCTGTATTTTACTTAGATGGATGTTGATAAGGGCAGTCATAGCCTCTTACTAATACAACTTTGGTCACTGCCAGAACAAGAATACTTGGTTAGACAACTGGTGAAACTGACCTCTTAGGAAATTTACATCCTGACTTTTTAAAAATACTAACTTTCCAGGAGATATATTAAAACTCATTCCTGGGTTGAAATCATACGCCTTTTATTTTAGGACTTGGAATTTGTTTTCTAGGTGTTTGTGGAAGTTTAAAATGTGAAGTGTGGTTAAGCACTTGTGCTGATGAATTTGTTTGGTATTGACTAGATAATTCAGTCACATTTTTGGTTCCCTGTCTCTTTCCTAAACCTTAAGCCAGGTGCCCTGGTATCCTTGACTTATTGTCTGTGAAAGACTGTTTTAAAAACAGAAAGTCTGGTTCCTACCCTTAGCTCAGCGGTGTCCCTCTAGGCAGGGAGCTAAATTCCTCCAGCTTGATTTTTCTTGTCTGAAAGTAAGGTGATCAGGCTGTGACCTTTAGCAGGCTCCGGAACATTTGCGCATTCTGTGTGTGCACTTTTAATTTCCTGCTGTTGTAAACTGTGTAAAGTATTGTGTGTCTATATTGAGAATGTTAATTTCTAAGTTATTGAAAGCAGAATTTTACATATTTCTTGTAAGTAAAATCATTGAAAGGATTAGAGCAGTAGTTCTCAACCTTCCTAATGCTGCGACCCTTTAATACAGTTCCTCATGTTGCGGTGACCCCCAATTTCATTGTTACAAATTGAACATAATGAAAGCATAGTGATTAATCACAAAAACAATATGTAATTATATATGTGTTTTCCGATGGTCTTAGGCGACCCCTGTGAAAGGGTCGTTCGACCCCCAAAGGGGTTGCGACCCACCGGTTGAGAATCGCTGGACTAAAGAGACGTGTTTTATTAAGTTGTGAAGTCCCTATGGCAGTTGTTTGTGCTGTGAGGAAGTATAGAAGTTTGAAATTTTCCCCTTTTTAATCTAGAGAAATCTTGTACAAAACCATCGCCATCAAAAAAACGCTGTTCTGACAACACTGAAGAGGAAGTTTCCAACTTGGAAAATGCACAACCGGTTGAGTCAGCTTCTGCCAAACCTTGTTCTCCAAGTCCTGTGTCCCCTCAGGCACGGCCACAGGCACCGGCTCCGGCCAGTGATTCCCTGCCCGCCGCCCAGGCATCGCTGCTGGGCCTGCAGAGCGCGCTGAACGCCAGGCCCGAGGCCTCTGCAGCCTCCTCTGTTAAAACACGGATGCAGAAGCTGGCAGCCCAGCGGCGCCACTGGGATAATGATGAGGTGACAGGTATGCATGGCATGGATGGGATGTCCCTTAAATCTGTCAGTAAGATTCACATTGTATGTTGAAAATCGTATTTATCAGTTAACACATGAAGGTAACTGCTTTTGCTTCATCTGTATCCCCGTACGGTCACTTGCACATAGTTCGCTTATCAGTAGTATATTTATCAGGTGTGGGCGTGCAGGAGGCACCACACTGAGGAGGGACATGTTTTTGCAATTTCAACTTCAGGTGTGTTATCTGCAGTGTCTGGGGTTTAGCCAAAAGGAGGGAGGCAGTTGGTTAAGAAAGTTTTGTTTTTCTCTTTTTAATTTGGATTAAGTATCATCTGATTTGAAAAGATATTGTCACATTTAAACAGCTCGGTGCTCTCATGCATACGAGAGCTTCGGACTAGCTCTAAGCCTGTTAACCTCGTTAAAAATCCCGAGTGGAGCGGTGCTGGTATTTGCATGTACCGTACATGCATCTCTTGAGCATGGTCATGAGTTCTTTTTCTGAAAACGTTTTCAGATGATACCCCTGAAAGCTCACTCATCCCAGCGATGCCAGCGGAGGACAAGGCGGCCTCCCCTCCCAAACCAGCAGAAGCCTCGGCCACTCCCGTGGGGAGGCGGGGCCGTCTGGCCAACCTTGCTGCCACTATCTGCTCCTGGGAAGATGATGTCAGTCTCTCATCGGCAAAGCAGAACAGTGCCCCAGGACAGCCTGGCACCACTTGTTTGTCCAAAGCTTCCTCTGCCAGCGGAGCATCTGCTGGCATCAATGGCCGCAGTGTTGCGCAGGAAGCCGCATGCTGCTCCCCGAGGGGTGGCCATGCCTCTCTGAGCAAAGCCCCGGCCTCGAGAGCCGCGGCCGCCTCCTTGCCTACGGGTGCCGTTTCCAGCGCTGCGGTGAGTACACACAACTTTCAATACAGAAGCCTTTCTTCTTTGTTAGGAGAGATAATGTACATTTACGTGTAGGTCTGTCTTTTTATAACATAGTTGCAGTGTTTTATGTTACTTTTAGAATATTGGTTTCATAGAAAGTAAAAGTCATAAATTTGATACCCCCACCCCAAGATAAGTGAGCAGTTAAGAACTAGTGCAACTCCAAAGTGTGCACCATGATATGACGGAGCCTCTTCGTCAGGGAGAGCCTGAAAATGACTTTCTCCGTCAAGGTGCGCATTTCTGACAACTAGGAGCCGTAGTGACCAGGTGGCAGTTGTCAGCGGTGGGTACGGTGCTTCCATGTACGTCTTTTTGAAAGGTTCCCTTGTGCATGTGCTACCTCAACATTTTAAAAAAATATCTTTTAAAAAAACAAAAAAGAAAAAGAATGTTGTGTACTGGGCATCGTCGTTGAGTGTAGCGCTGGGATCTGGAATTAGCCTGCAGGCAATTCCCAGCCCTGCCACATCGTTAGAAGTGTGGCCTTGGACAAGGCTTTGTCTTGCAGAACATAGGAAAGGGTTCTGGGGAGGGTGAAGCGAGGTGATGTGCACAGAGCACTTAGCATAGGGCTTGGCACTAGTGAGTACTTCCTTTATTATCATTAGTCATCAAGTACATGATGCAAGAAAAATACATACATGTTTTTATTTATTGTAAAGGGAGAGAGAAACATGAATTGGTTGCCTCCCATAGCACCCCGACCAGGGACTGAACCCACAAGCCGGGCATGTGTCCTGACTGGGAATCGAACCGGCGACCTTTCAGTGCACAGGACGGTGCTCAACCAGCCAACCAGCTGAGCCACACTGGCCAGGCCTATGATACGATTATGTTAAAATAATACTGACTTAATTAAAATACAAAAATATGTAATTTGGTTTAACATAGTTAAAATTCATAAATGTAATAGTGTGATACTATTAAGAAATTGTTTTTTAAAATAGTGACTCTGTCCCTCATACTAAATTACCCATTGATCTAGTATACAGCCTGAACTATAAAGCATAATTTGAATTACAGTATTTTCCAAGTTGATTTTTTTTTTCAAACCTTTCACATTGGCTTGATCTATTAGATAACAACAACATTTTTTCATGTGTTTACATAGGCTACCAAGCAAGTGGAATTTGCGTTGTTGTTATGGGACTATCTTTAGGTATTATGAGTGTATTTATCCTCAGTGTTTTCATGTTTCAGAAAGCTGCTTCTTCCCCTGTGAAAGCTTCTATATCTGTCACCAGTGCTGAAAATTGTGAGGTACGAAAACCTGAGCGACTTCAAAAAACTCCTGCTACTCCTTTGAAAACTGAGGTATCGAAACCAATCGGGAAATCAGCTGAATCCCAGACAGTTCGACCCAAAGAAGAAGTAAATAGAGAAACTTGTCTGCAATCTCACTCTAAAGACAAATCTACAACACCAGGTTATGTATTTTTTAAAAAAATCTAAAGTTTTCAGGGTTTCTGTTCTCAGCATTTTAAATACCCAGTTTGAATGGTACAGGGTTGGTTTGCCAGGGCAAGTGCTGAATGCTTGGATGAGACATCTTCAAATTCAGCTTTAATTGGTAGAGTGACTGTTTATTAGTGTAGATCAGTCCAGTTACTGGTCAAAGCAGTTTAAACATGCTTTTTCCTTAGAATGACTGTGCTAGATACTTTCCTCTGTACTTTTTAAAAAATATATTTTTTTATTGATTTCAGAGAGAGGAAGGGAGAGATAGAAACATCACACCCCCTACTAGGGATCAAGCCCACAACCCCCGCATGTGCCCTGACTGGGAATCGAACCCATGACCTCCTGGTTCATGGGTTGATGCTCAACCACTGAGCAATACCACCTGGGCATATATTGTTTACTTTCTGAATGAATAATCCTGGTAGAGTCAAAGCACTTTGGAACTGTACAGTCATTTAGAACTTCCCCGTAGAAATGATAATGGTTACTTATTCTGAATAGCCTCCAATAATGTGGTGTTTTCTGTAGGAGCTGGAGTCAAGCCGTTTCTGGAGCGCTTCGGCGAGCGCTGTCTAGAACGCAGCAAAGACAGCCCCACGCAGAGCACACCCCACAGGACCCCCGTGGTCACTCCAAACACCAAGGCCATCCAGGAAAGACTGTTAAAGCAAAACACATCTTCATCTACTACCCACATAGCCCAGAGGCTCAAGCAGGTGCGTACATCCTACTGCCTTCACATTACCCATGCCACAGTCTCAGCATAGAACGTACAGACATCAAGTCACGTATTCCCATACCATTCCTTTTGACTGAATAAATAGCATCTTGGTTCTCTGTATTGTGTATTTCAAATTAGAAATACAATTGTTCTGTATTCCTTTATATTGTGACTTTTTTCCTCTTAAAACTGAAGACAAGCAAAGTTAGTAGTGTTTGGATATTATTCTTAAACCTACTATTGGCTTTTGTGTAAAATAGAGCTTTTGATGATTTTAGGAACGTGAAAAAGAACTAGCATGTCTTCGTGGCCGATTTGACAAGGGCAGTTTATGGAGTGCAGAAAAAGGCGAAAACTCCAGAAGCAAACAACTAGAAACCAAACAGGTAATGTAGACAGATAGGTGAGTGATGATGAGAGGAGGAAGGACAGCTCTGGCTCTCCATGCCAGGCCTCTGGTGGGCGCTAATCAAGTGCATGGCATCATCTAATCCCCACACTAACCCTGGAAGGTAACACTCCCCCGTTTCTGGGTGAGGACTAAGCCCCAGGGAGGTAAACCACTTGTGCAAGTGGCACAGCTGGTGTGTGGGAACCAGGGCTTCTGACCAGCCCTCTGACCTTGGCCTCCTCCTTTACCCCCACGTTTATTCTTGGGCCCCATCCACAATGGAAGGATGAGGCTTAGTGAGTTTGTCTGGCGCTGTTTTCAAAGCCATGATTTACACCTTTGAGAATGAATGCCATTGCTTTTCATTACCACCACTCATTCTTTCAGTTACTCAGCTAATGTCTGAGTGCCTATTGTATACAAACCCGAAGCTTTTTTACTCTCCAGGTGCACTCAGCCCATTGTTCTCACTTCTGAAATGCACCTGCCCTGCCTGCCCCTTCTCAAACTTCTTGCTTACCCTTAAGACAGTCTGCTGCACAGTATTTGATAATGTGCTGTGTGTTTGTACATCAGGCTACTAGCTGAGTATGCAAGTTACTTAACTCTCCTGTGTCTCAGTTTTCTCATCTGTAAAATGGAGACATTAGTACTGATCCTAGAGAGTTATTGGGAGGATCTGATGAGGCGATGATGTGAAGTGTGTAGAATAGAAAGATGACTGACACATGTGAAGCTCTGTGGAAGTATTCGCTGCTGGTCTTATTTCTTCTCTTGCTTTAATCACAACCTTTTCAAAAGCAAACAAGCAATGAATGTTTCTTTTGCATAGCCTTATAAATATTTTAAAAAATGACTCAGTTCTTTTTCCTTTTCTTTTTTAAAAAAATATGTTTTTATTGATTTTAGAGAGAGGAAGGGAGAGGGTTAGAGAGATAGAAATATCAATAAGAGAGAAACATGTATAGGCTGCCTCCTGCACCGCCCCCCCCCCCCCCCCTCACCCACACACACACTTGGAATTGAACCCACCACTCTGGGCATGTGCCCTGACTGGGAATCGATCCAGTGACCTTTTGGTTCATGGGTTGACACTCAGCCACTGAGCCACATTGGGTAGACCTCTTTTTTCCTTTTCTTATGATCTGTTTTTGTCCTTTGCTGTTTTCTTTGCATTTTACCCACAGAGTAACTGGTAAGTGGAATCTGGAGGTAGCCCTAATTGTTGTTTTTTGTTAATCCTCACCTAAGGGTATTTTTCCCCCCCAATGATTTTTAGAGAGAGTGGAAGGGACGGGGGGAGAGACAGAGAAAGAGATTCACCAATTGGTTGCCTCCTGCATGTGCCCCTGGTCAGGGCTGGGGCTTGAGCCTGCAACCCAGGTATGTGCCCTTGACTGGAATCACACCGGGACCCGTCAGTCTGGGGGCCGAGCAACCGGCCAGGGCGTCCCCAGTTTTACAGATGTGGGCTGTGATGAGTGACACGGGGGAGTTGTTTTCCACACACATGACTTTCACTTGAATGGTTTCTCTGAAGCTGAACCTGATGCAGATTTCCATTCTCCCTTGCCTCCTACTCCCAGTGACTCACATCCTGAGAATCTCCAGAACGGACCTAGCGCCGAGGGCTCGTGTTCTGAACGTGGCTTGGCCTTACACACGTTGTCTGTTTTGTTCTGAGGAAGCTTATGTAGAGTAATGACTGTGGTTTGTTTCACTTAGTAACACATAAAAAGACAAAAATCTATCGTTTTGAGAAGTAAAATGTATCTCTTCACTCGCTTTTTGCAGGAAATTCACTCTCAGAACACTCCCCTCAGAAAACATCAAGTTGTTTCAAACACCCCGTCCGGTCCAGTAACAGAAAAGGAAAAGGCGGCAGGAGAGCAGACCCCAGCACAGCCCCCCAGCCCAGAGCCCGCAGGTCAGTGCTCCTCCCCACTTCACGGCGGGAGCTCTGGACGCGGGTTGGCAGTCAGAAACGCTGCTCTAGTGTGAAAAGGCCGATTCGCCCCTTCGTTTCCACACTTTTTCCTTCTGGCCACGCTCTGCTTCTCGGCTCCGCGTCCAGAGTGAGAAGGCAGCCTCTCGCGGGAGTGTGAGCACTGCCACTGTCGCGTCTGGAGCTGGGAGGGGTGCATGCCCTTTACCTCCGCTTCTCTGCACGTGCGGGCGGGTTGGAGCCTTGGGACCAGAGTGCAGAGACGTGCTGTGTGCAGAGGGGGTTGCGGCCGCGGTAATGGCACTCAGTGGCCTGAGTGGCGGGCAGCGGGAGCTTAAAGTCACTGTGCTCACCCATAACCCTGTGTCCGGCTGGACTGGGGCTCCCGAGGCTTTGTTGACTGGCAGTGGTGAGAGTGGCTTCTTTGTCTTGTTCCTGATCTTGGAGGAAGAGCTTTCAGTCCTTCACAGAGGACAGTGTTAGCTGTGGGCTTTCATAGAAAGGGGTCGTTTCCTTCCGTTGCTGGTTTTTTTAAGTTGTTTTTATTTTTTTAAATATGTCTTTATTGCTGAAAGTATTACCGATGTGTCCTTATTTCTCCCATTGACCCCCTCCATCCTGCACCCTTTTTAAGTGTTCTTATCGGCACTTTTCTAAAAAATTGAAAAACAAATTGCAGAACAGCATGAGAGTGTGTCCACGTGCTGATAAAACAAAAGGCTGCTCACATAGATCACCGTAGAGGGAAACTGGAGGAGCAAACATAACCTGTTCTATCGATGTCCCTTCCTCTTGGAGAGAGAAATGGGGAGGTGGGAGAGGGCAGGTGTTTGGGGGTATTCTCTATACATTTCTAAATCTGAAATCCAGTTTTGTAATCAGGAAAAAAAAAAGATAGATTCTATAAACAAAAGTTCTGGGTTCTTATAATATTAATATGGTTTTCCCTAAAACTTTTTTAGGTTTCACTGAATGTGAAATGACGAAGTCTAGCCCTTTGAAAATAACACTGTTTTTAGAAGAGGAAAAGTCTTTAAAAGTAACATCAGACCCAAAGGTTGAGCAGCAGACAGGTTGGTTTTTATTCTTTATTTCTTACTAGCACTGAACATGTTATGAGAAATAATATAGTAGAAGCACATATTCCACTATACGCTGTTCTATATTTCTTAAGAAAGGTTTTTTTAAAATTGATTTCAGAGAGGAAGGTAGAGGGAGAGAGAGAGAGAAACATCGGTGATGAGAGAGACTCATTGATCAGCTGCCTCCTGCACGGCCCCTACTGGGGATCAAGCTCACAATCCAGGCATGTGGCCTGACCAGGAATCGAACCTTGACCTCCTGGTTCATAGGTCCATGCTCAACCACTGAGCCACGCCAGCCAGGCCAGCGTTCTATATTTCTAAGTGGCTTATGATTTTATAATTCTCTCTCTCTCTCTTTTTTAACTACGAAGAAGTACTCTAGCCTCCACAGAGAAAGAGCACGGAAACAGCTATCTTTAGGGTACGGACCGCTGTGAAAACATGGTTGAGCCTACCCTCACCTGGCACGGGGCTGGGGGGGCATGCACTGCCTGGCACTTCCATGGACTGTCAGGAGCTAGTGGCCCTGAGGCACCTGTGAATCCTGCCCTCGGTGACGCTCATGTTTCCTGTTAGTGACTGCCGCCTCCACGGGCAGCTCCTACCAGAGAAGAGTCCTTTGAAAGAACATGTTTTACACGTCTGAAGCTCTTGGCTCTAACCTTGAGTTCTTACTTAATAATCTTTCTCACACCCAAAGCATTGGGTCAGCTTTTGATAATTTCCACTTTTATTGGTAAGAAAGTATTACTGGAAATTTGAAAATAATTTTGGTTTCATATGTTAGTAAATTTTATTGTAATTTTTTGTTTAGGAGGTGCTTTTCTTCAGGGCTTTCCCCTGTTTATTACTAAGCATGTGAATGTTAGATCTTTTCTGCTCTCCCTCTGATTTTTAAAGGTCTGGATCACAGCATTCACTTTATTGAAATGTTTTTCAGAAGTGGTACGTGAAATTGAGATGAGCGTGGATGACGAGGATGACATCAATAGTTCGAGAGTGATTAACGACATCTTCAGTGATGTCCTGCAGGAAGGCGAGCTGGATGTGGCCAGGAGCCCGGAGCAGATGGGCCAGGCGGGAGCCGAGAGCGGGGAGGACCAGGAGGATGCCCTGAATATCTCCTCGATGTCGCTGCTTGCTCCGCTGGCACAGACAGTCGGCGTGATAAGTCCAGAGGTAAGAAAAGAGGAGACAGGCTCGGGACATAAAGAAACTAAATAGCATTGGGGTCCCCTTTTGTTTAGGTGGGTGCATGGGCATTTAGAACTCTGGGGCCAGGGACAGCCTGCAAACCTGACTTTAATGCTCTTGTGAGAGCGAGCTATATTATTAGCCATCACCCTGTAATGAATAACTGCAACTTTGTTTGGAAATTGATTCAATTAGAACTGTTTCTAAAGAGGGTTATAAGTGTAGGTTTTAGCTATCTTTCAACTTTTATTTATTTTTTTAGGAACTTGGTTTAGTTTGTTTTGTTTTTACAATGAATCAGTTGACTTATGTGATACTTATTTTCCTCATATAGAGAAGAATTCATTCAGTTCTTCAGAATATTTAGAATCAGTGGTATCCATAAAACCTATTAATACCCACTGCTTCCCTGCAGAGTTTCGCTTCCTCGCCTAGATTGGAACTGAAGGGCAGTAGCATACATGATGAGAGTCCCAAACCAGGAAAGTTCCAGAGAACCCGTGTCCCGCGGGCCGAGTCTGGTGACAGCCTTGGTTCTGAAGACCGTGACCTTCCTTACAGGTGAGAACATTTGGGGGAGGCATTCACTCGCTAAGGCTCATGGTTTCAATTGATACAACAACTTGGAGTCCTTGTAATTATGTTACTAATAGTTAACTTGCAAAAAACTTCGTAATAACTTCTGTCAGCTTCTCTTTTGCCCAGTGGCATTTCCCATTCTGGTGAAGTGTTCTGCTGAAATGCTGAATAAAAGATAGTGCTAGTGTGTTGCTGGATTTCTAACAGAGTGTAACTGTTTCCTGAAGCATCGATGCATACAGATCTCAGAGATTTAAAGAAACAGACCGTCCTTCAATAAAGCAGATTGCTCAGAAGGAAGATGCTACTTCAAAATTGGAGGGAAAAAGGAATGCTGAAGAAAAGAGCGTCTTTCCTTGTCAGGTGAACGTCAAGCAGAAAATGCAGGTGTGTACTCGATGGAAGGGGTGTGTGGTGTTTGTTTCACGAGACTGAGCTTGAGCACGAGGCCCAGCCTTTCCGTCTCTGGGCCCTGAGGGCCTGGGACAGTGTCTGACGCCTGACACCCTGACCTTAGCAGTTGCTCTTGAGTTCAGTTTAATTGGAGAAAGGTTCTCTTTATTAGAAAAGTTGGAAGCTTGTTTGATGTTATTGAAATATTTATTTTTAAACATGTTTGTCCTCCATATCCTTAAAGTGTAACTATAAATTAGATGATGGTGAAATGTGCAATTTATTTTGCTCTTAAAGGTTCTTTTACTCTAGGAAAACATTTAAAAATTATACATGTAATTTAAATAAAATGAATCAGGTAATCTCTATATCGCTAAACTGGGATGCATTTGAAGGCATGCAGTTGTGCAGAGTATGCTGAGAATGAATATATGAATATATTTATATCCCCACACATCCCCACACACTCTCTGTACCTACCTATCTATCTGTAGCTAAAAAAGGGTGTGACTTTGTTGGACATCGCCCCAATTATAATTTTAGTAAGTATGAGTTGAAAGTCTTTTTGTAAGGAAGAATGTTGATAGTGTAATTATTTTAGTATGTTAAATGTTCCTGGTGCATAGTCTAGAAACTTGAATGGTGAAACTAACATTTGGACTTTCTGGAAATTTTGGAAATTATTGAATCAGATTGGTTATAATCCAAGTTTCAGTAAGTGAATGTGGTGACTGAGAATGTGAGTTTTCTCTCTTCTCGTGGGTCTCACCAGGAGCTCAACAATGAAATCAACCTGCAGCAAACGGTGATCTACCAGGCCAGCCAGGCCCTGAACTGCTGTGTGGACGAGGAGCACGGGAAGGGGTCCCTGGAGGAAGCCGAGGCTGAAAGGCTGCTTCTGATCGCAAGTGCGTGAGACCCAGGCAATCCCAGCAGGTTCAGCCAGGAAACACTCAATTCACCTCGAATGGTTGACACCTCTAATTGTGGAGAAAGGGCCTTTTCTGATAACCTGGTTCAGTTCATCTACTTTTTTGTTCTGGATAACGTCTGTGAACACCCGCCACACAAAATGAGATGTAGTTTGCATGAAAGGATAAGAAATGGGAAAGCATTTGAAGGCATGCAGTTGTGCAGAGAAAGCTGAGAATGAATATATGGATATACTAGTATTTACATCCCCACACTCTCTCTACCTACCTACCTATCTGTAGCTAAAAAAGGATGTGAATTTTGTTGTGTGTGTGTGTGTGTGTGTATGTATGTGTGGTGATGAATGGTGGAAAGATTATATCACATAAGAAAACTGACCAATAGTTGAAGCATTAAATTATTGGAACTTGGTAAACAGATGACCAATTAAGGTTTTTTCCCAACTACCTACCGCCTGTTTCTGTAAAGAAAGTTACTGATTTCGTCTTTGGGCTTCTGTACTGTTGCCACATAATTGGCCTCTTTTAGAAACAGTTGCAACTTTTAATATTTGAAATATTAACTTGCATTGTTTTACATAGCTGAGAAGAGAACACTTTTGATTGATGAACTGAATAAACTGAAGAGTGAAGGACCTCAGAGGAAGAACAAGGCTGGTCTCCTCTCCCAACGTGAATTTGTCCCGTCCAAAGGGTCAGTCACTTTGTCAGAAATCCGTTTGCCTCTCAAGGCAGATTTTGTCTGCAGCACAGTTCAGAAACCAGGTATGGAGGTTTTTATTTGCCTGCGTTCTAGATCTTATGTGTGATTATGAACCTCATCTAGCTTGGAATTGTGCAAATGGGAACAATTGGAGAGCATACACAAAGCTACAAAGCTTGTGTCTTGGGTCTTAAAATCCTTTTGTGAAGATGTGTGTAAAAATAACCAAGGACAGTTCATATGGGAGCTCACTGTTCCACACCGTAACAGACAAAGCTCTGACTGAAAGTCAAGTTGGTTAAACATAATTTCGAACATACGTCGTTTTCCTGAGATGAGTTATCCTGACATAGCAATCAGTTTCATTAATTTTATTGTGGAAAGTATTTAGGGCATCTAAAATGGCTCATTTTACTTACTTTATTCTATGTGAAATTCATCTCGTTATAGAAATTTGTTCTATAAATTCTGAAATTATAGCATTTGGGGGAGTTAAGAGCCCCACAGTGGACATACTTGTATTGAACTTTTATTCCCTCTGCCCCTCTAGATTGAATAAGTAAACTTTTCTTTAAATTTTTGTGTGAGACATTCTCTTGGAGAGAATGGAGACCTAGACTAGGTGAGAAGCGAATTTGAAGTGCGGGGAAAGTAAAGAGTGGGGACCTTTCAAGGTTTGAGCATTTTGGTAGGAAAGAGGTGACCTCAGTTCTAATTCTTGCTGTTGTCCTGTTTTGGTGGGCTGTGGGCAGAAATCTGTTGGTCATTTAATGTGTACCTTGAAATCTGTGGTTATTTAATGACAGATAGTGAAGAAATAGTTCATGTTTTCATTAGAATTTATCTCTGAGGAACTTTCACAAGTGTAGTACTTTGATCTCAGTTTTGAAATATGGTAGTACATGCTCAGATGCATACTTGGGTATATACCATTGAGTTGTATACTATTAGCTCAAGAACTAGGGGTCACTAGGTAAAACACAAAGCCAGCAGAATTTGAGGGGTATGCAGTTATTGTAACTCCCATAGTGGGAGAGCCCGTGATGAGGCTTATTCTAGCATTATGATCATCTGCTTATGTCTTACCTTTGTGTCTGGAAAGTTGATTTTAGAAAATTTTTAATGAATTTTATGTAAGTCAGTGCAGTATTCCTTTATTCCTCTGGTCTTCCAGAATGCTCGTTACCTAAATCCAATTCTCCTTGATCTGATTCTGTAATGTGATTCCTTCCTGCAGATGCAGCAACTTACTCCTTCCTGATCATACTGAAGGCAGGAGCCGAGAACATGGTGGCCACCCCGCTGGCAAGCACTACCACTTCCCTGAATGGCGATGCCCTGACGTTCTCCACCACGTACACTCTGTGAGTACATCACGCGGTTGGCGGCTCACCTTTCCCTTCAGTAGTTAATACAGCCTAAGCACACAGGTGGGCTTATTACCTGTGAAGTGCATATAAAAATAATGATCATAATTTTTTATGTATGTTTTAAATCTCATTACATACTTAATATTCAATCTCAGTGAAAGAACATATTTAGTGTCACAGACTTATTTTGAAACAAGTCAAAATTAAGTTTGAAAAAAATTACCATTATTGAAGATCTTGAGTTGTAAGTTACTGAAGAAAATATTTGAAAAAATTGACTGTTCTTACCAATTTTATATTCTTAAGTGGTTGATAGCTATTGTCTTTAGTTGAAACACAGTGAATTCTTTTGCTCTGAGTCTTTTAACAGTATGGTGGCATCATCCTGGGCCATAACTTGGTATTTTTGTTATAGTTTTAATGCTTTGTTTTCAGGGAAGATGTGTCCAATGACTTTGAAATCAGCATTGAAGTTTACAGCTTGGTAAGCAGTTAAAGCTCTCTAAAATAACTACTAGTATGTTGTCTTAAAGATAACAGATTTAAACTAGTTATGCTTTGGATTTGTGTATTAGGTGCAAAAGAAAGATCCCTCAGTGCCAGATAAGAAGAAAAAGGCATACAAATCCAAGGTGAGGATGAAAGAAACCCAGCAAATTATAATAATCATTTTGTATCAGAAACCATAGATACTATACCAGTTTCCATATGTATAATTTTTAATGATTATCAAGTTTTTGGACAATTTTATGCCCCAGATTTCAGGTACTGCATTTCATAGGTATGAACTCTGACATAAACTTATAACCCTAAGTATAGCTCCTCATGCACTCGGCTTGATGGTCTGTTCTCGCTGGTATTTGACAGCTTACGTGTATTACCCCTTGTGTTCCCCAGCCTTCCCTGGAGTCTGGTCTCTATGTCCTCTGCACCAGGGCTTAGGAGAGGTGTGGGGGCAGGACTCTAGCTGGCTTCTCACTCTTCCTGCTCTTTGTCTTCTGTTCTTTTTCAAGCCATCATTTAAAAGAATTTATTTAGCTTTAACAGAGAAAGAGTGATAGTATGGGTAATACCTTAATAAAAGACTCAAGTATATTCATACTTGAGAATTATTTTCTATGTGGGAGTGTCTTAGGATTGGTTATTTTTAAACTCCAAATCATAATGTTTAATAGAAAATATTCTGATATGTTTTCTTTTAGGCTATCACTCCAAAGCGACTTCTCACATCTATAACTACAGTAAGTCGAATTTTTAAAAAATTGAGCCTCCTTGTGAAATCTTCATGTTACACATATGATTGTAAATATTTCTAAACCCTTAGCACTTTGGAAATCTTTAAAATATATTACTGGGGGGAAAATCTCATATTTATGTAGAAAAAAATGTGTTCTGAAATGTTCTTGCAGTGTTAAAGAGTTTTGTATTTAATATTCAAATCTTTTATCTAATAAAGAAAATAACTTGTTTCTTCTTCACACCCTGTTTTAGAAAAGCAGCCTTCATTCTTCAGGTGAGTGGATCTTGAACTGTTTGAAACACTAGAATAAGGAAGAGAGCCAACCAATTGCACAATCGCATGTGCAGCCATCTCGGTTTATGGGTGTTTACATAGTCTCCTTGGAAAGGCATTTTCTATGTGGTTTAGTACCACGTGAGATTACTGTCCAGTCGCCGTTGTCAGATGCCACACATCTCTCAGGCCCTGGCAGCAGTGTCCATGAGGCCGGTCACGTGACCCTGGCAGCGGCAGCAATGCCCGTCCCCCGGCTCATGCTTCCTTGCAGATTTGCTCTGGCTGTCAGCACTGTGGAGTTGACCTATGTTAGCTTTGCTAACCATGACTGGCATTGAATCATGTCAGAAAAGCATCTTCCTAGCACAGTGGGACCTGGGGTACTCGTAAGCCAGGAAGGACCTTCTAGAACGGCTTTAGGCAGGGATTAGGGTTGAGCTGGTTTCACTCACCTCCTTTGGGCTTTTGGTCTCTTCTTGGTACAGAGTAACTAAGAAGCACCGTGCAGCATCAGCATCGTCTGTGCTGCCACCTAGACTATGGCAATGGAGTCTTCTCTCTCATTCCCATGCATTTTATGCACATTTTGAGGTTCTGTATCTTTAAAAACCTATTGGTCCCAAATATTCAGACGTGCCTAAACTCTACTATAGTTAAATATAAAATATGTAACAGTTTGCTGTCACTAGCAAGTTTGATATTTTCCCTTCCTGTTTGGAGATGGAGTAAAATGCAGTTTTCTCTGTGGCAGGTTAATGTCATTCTGTTGGGGTGAGGTGAGGAGTGATTTACACTTAGGGAAGTCACTCCGAATTAAGCCCCAGCCCCTTTCTCTCCAGTGATGGCCAGCCCGGGCGGTCTCCATGCTGTGCGCACCAGCAACTTTATCCTTGTTGGATCTTACACGCTGTCTTTGTCTTCAGTAGGAAACACTAAGTTTGCTCTGGACAAGGTAACCTGAATTTATTTATTTGTTTTTAGAAAAATTAGGTCAGTGGAAATGCCCCAGTACTTTCAACTATTAAAATCTTTGACTGAAAATGTATGTTCTTAGAATTGTACATTTTAATGAGGCATTCTTGTACCTACACGATATATTTTTTGATGTTGGAAATATTTCTCCCTTGTATCTTAACAGTTAAATCCTGAAAGTACTGCATGCTGATTTATTCTAAATGTCAGTTCTGATTAAAGAAGTATTACTTTTTAAAAAATTTATTTTTCAGTTACAGTTGATGTACAATATTATGTTAGTTTCAGGTGTACAACATAGCAATTAGACATTTATATACCTAATGAAGTGATCCCTGATAAGTCCAGCACCCATCTGAAGCCATACATAGTTATTACAATATTACAATATTCCCTGTGCTGTACTTTACATCCCTGTGACTATTTTTATTTTATTATTTTTAAAATATATCTTTATTTCAGAGAGGAAGGGAGAGGGAGGAGAGAAAGAGAGAGAGAGAGAGAGAGAGAGAGAGAGAGAGAGAAACATCAATGATGAGAGAAAATCATTGATCGGCTGCCTCCTGCACGCCCCCTACTGAGGATTGAGTCCACAACCCAGGCATGTGCCCTTGACTGGAATGGAACCTGGGACCCTTCGGTCCGCAGGCCAACACTCTATCCACTGAGCCTAACCAGCTAGGGTTCCATGACTATTTTTATTAACTGGAAGTATTACTTTTTGCTCTTAGATGTTAAGCTTACAGGTTTAAACATAGTCACTTGCCCATTGGAACCCATATTTCGAAATGAATAGTAGTTTTAGTTTTGACAAGATAGGGAAAGATAGGTTAATTTCTTAGACAAGTATCCATGAATCTAAAGCATTTCCTTCCCATACTTTCCCTCCCAGGTTTAAAGCATCAGCATTCAGATCTGTGTAATATCACTGAGTGCTTCTCACCATACTGTGATATAATTAAACTTTTAATAACTAACAAGACCATTTTAAGGAATGAGAGAACTAGAAGCAAACTTTAATTCTTGGGTTGACCCCTGCTTCATAATACAGGGGAATTTTTAAATATTATAAGAGATTTTTGTAGTTAGAATGTAGAGATGAAGTATTACACATTAGGAGGCCTAGTTAGTGTTGGCCCTGCCAGGGATTTCCTCTTTAACATTGAGCAAAGGCACTTCATTTCTCATAGCTTTAGAATTCCATGAAATCTTTCTTGTAGTTGATAGACTATATTTGAAATTTTGATTATTGTTAATGCATAAGTGTATTTTTTAACATGTTAATTTAAAAGATTCCTGTACCTTTTTACTTAGCAATTCAGCTAGCTTAACAAATTGAGTGATCCTGGATTTTTTTTCTCTCTTTGTCTTTTATTTTGTTTGTTTTAGATAAATTATGATGTAAAAGAGCGAGAGCTACTGGGCTATTTGTTCCAGGAAAAGGTTGCAATTTTTTCTTTGCTTGAAACTAACAAGCTAAAAAATCAATCCTTAAGTTTTGGCCTATATGTATTTGTTTCACTAACCACTCTTGTGCCTTCTTGGTTATTTTGAATAATTAAGGACATTATATACATTCTTTCTTTAGTCTCTTGCAGTTGGGCATCTTTACTTTGCTCTCTTTTTTTTCATGCATATTTGGTGTTGGCTTTCCTCCTATTTCTTTTTTCATGTTTTAATTGTTCAGATTCTGTAGTCACTTCAATGTTGATTTTCTGGGTACTAAAATAACAAATTAAATTTATTTAAGATTGTTTACCTCCCATATATTGAAAGAGCTATTGGTGATGCTTTAAGTAGAAAACTTATTTGGTCACAATTGGCTATAGGCATATTGCCATGTAGATGATATTTTGTTTTTAATTTTTAAATTAAAATGAATTTAACATTAAAATCATACTAAGAATAATCATATATTTTAGATTTTTAAAAGGATTTTTAATATCCTTTTGAAGTTCAATTGCAAGCAATTCGTATTTAGAAATGTTAATTTATAAAATGCTGGACAGTATTAGTTTATTTTATTTATTGTTAGAACAAGATTTGCAGATTAACCGTAAGAACTGGGATTCTGTGAACTGTATTCCTTACTCGCTGTTGTCTGTCACAAAGCCAATTTCTACATGTGTAAGCGATTTCATTAATCTCTAAAATGGAGGGATTTCAGTAACACGTTAAATATAGAATGTTTGCTTTTTGAAATTTTTTTGTCTGCCATTTTAATTCAAAATGTCACAAAATATTTCTATTCTCTTAATTCTTTTGAATTTATAACTTAAATAGGCAACCATGTGATTGAGTGCAAAATCATTTTATTTAATTGGTTGTCTCTAATACTCTAAAGTCTCTTTCATATACGACACAATTTTGATGTCAGATTTGTCCCAAATGTACTTTAGTGAGTGCCAGGAGAAAGCAGATAGTTGTTCCAATTGTTTGTAGTTGATATAAAAGAATATTTAAAATAGTTATGTTTAGGTGTTCTTTAAATTGGTGGGGAAAATGGAAGACCTTTTATACTCATATAATTACTCTATTTAATTAACTTTGAGAGAGTAAACAAGTGTCCCATATCTTACCAGATACTATCGGTACAAGGGAGGGTTGGCCTATTTTACTGGCGCCTTGACCAATAATACAACAGCTATCTCTGAGATCCCTTCGGAATAGAGTGACCTTTGAGGTTAATCCAGACTGTTTGCTCTAGAGATTTAGGGCACCACTAGCAGGAGATTACCTTCTTATTTGAGGTTACAGATACCTGATGTAAAGTCTGGCATCCTGGAATTCAAATTATGAATCTCAATGAGTCACAGACTCTCAAGGACTTTCTTTTCTTTGAATAACCAATCCAAAATAGTCATAGGTTTTTTGTTGTTTTAAAAAAATACTCAGGTTTTATTACATGTTTTGGATAAAGAGAGACGCGCATCCCACAGCTCATCTTCTGACTTAAAAAAACCTCATAAATATTTCTGCTTTCCAGGACACAGGGATGTCAATTTAAATGGCTTTAGGGCAACCAATTAGCATTGTAGAATTTTGAGGTCACAGGAAGAGTGGTTGGGGTTCTGGTGTGCACAGAGGTGTTCTGGTTTATGCCTTTGGCCTGGTATAATGATTAATGGTATCCCTTTCTCTCTCAGAAATATCCCAGTGTGTAAAGATTACACAGTTGTCCTGGTTATAGTTCATTTTACAGTTCTTAACAGTATTCTTAAAATACCCTTTTGTTGAACAGAAAACAGAATAGGCTCATACATTTTCATCTCTCTCCAAACTCAACGGGGTAGTAACATCGACTCGTTTGTGAACATTCTCAGTTCGCTTGTTCAGAGCAAGCTTCTAATCAAGAACATTGTGTACTTCACAGTTGTGGAGTTAGAGGGACCATTTTCTTTGTATCTTTCTGAGATTCTTTTTACCAGCAGCATTCTGCAAAACAGTGGAATTCTCTTTTTTAGCATTGAGAGGCTAAGGAACTTAAAACTGACTATATGGAAAAGAAAAAGGCAAGGGAATTTATAACAAATAAAATAATGAGATATGTGGTGTTTTGATTCTACATTATGGTTCCCTATTAAATCCAGAAACTTTGAGGTTTGTCTAATGGAATGAATCTATTGAAATCTATACTTTTTGGCCAAGAGAAGATTAAATTGTTGGAAACTAACCTTACAATTAAAACTTTAAAATTTAGACTGTGCCCTAGTTGGTTTGGCTCAGTGGTTAGAGTATTAGCCCACAGAGTGAAGGGTCCCAGGTTCAATTCTAATCAAGGGCATGTACCTCGGTTGCAGGCTTGATCCCTTGTCTCTCTCACATTGATGTTTCTCTCTCTGTCTCTCCCCTCCCCTTCCACTCTCTTATTTAAAAAATTATTTAGACTGAACTAAGATTATTCCAACTAGGAGATCATTCTTTTTCACTGGATAGCAGGAATGACAGACATTAACATCATTCTTTCTTGACCAGAAGTCAATGTCAATAAATATATGTATGTTAACCATTTTACTCTAATGACTCAACCTCTCCAATTGAATTTCTCATGTTTGTTGTAATCTTTAAATTCTAAATCTTTTAAAATTCTTACATATACTAAGTAGCTTTTATAATTTAAGATACTTTTGACATGAAGTGTCTTCACTAACTAGTAATATGTTGATAAGAATGATACATTTACAAATATTTATGTGAATGTTTACTTTTAAAATTTTTTTAGTAAATTTATTGGGGTAACATTGGTTAATAACATAGATTTCAGGTATACAACTTTATATATGACATCTGTATACTCTATTGTGTGAATGTTTTCCATGCTAGATAAACAGCATGATTTTATTTGGGAAAAAATTAATTCCCCCAAATTCCAACCAGTAAGAACAACATAGTCTCAATTTAGGCACTTAATTCTTGTTTTGTCAATTTATGATTCCTGTATTTTAAAGCTACATTATTAGGTCCGTGAACATTTAAGATTATTATATCATCTTGATGAATTATCCACTTTATCTCTGATAATCTTAAAGTCTATTTTATCTGCTATTAATAGCTACAACAGCTTTCTCATGATTAGTGTTTGTATGTTATATCTTTTTCCTTCCTTTATTCTCAATACATCAGTGACTATATATGTCAAATTTGTGTTATAAACATATTTTATGGTCATATTTTGTTATTTGGTGTGACAGTCTTTTGTCTTTTCATTGGGGTGTTTAGCCCATTTATATTTAATGCAGTACCAATATAGTAGGGCTTAGTCTACCACAACACCAGGCAAACTTTTAGCCTAGAGGTTAAGTCTGGCTTATGGCTTGTTTTGTTTTTTAAATTGCCCCTGCAACACCTAGTCTACTTTCTGCGTCTATGAGCTTGGCTACTTCAGGTACATACATGGTATATATGTGGTATATACTTCCAGGTATATACGTGGAACCAGAAGTAGCTGTCCTTCTGTGACTGGCTTATTTCACTTAGCATAATGTACTCAAGGCTCATCCATATTATAGCATCTGACAGAATTTCCTTTTTTATGGCTAAATAATATTTCCATTGTATCTATAAACCATATTTATTTTTTCTTTTTTTCAGTGAAGAACTCTGGGTATTTATTTGCCCAAACAGTGTTCTTTTAGCAAACATTTATTGAATGCCTGAGTATGATTTGACAGTAGGATATGGGAACAGCCAATAAAAAGACACAATAGTCAACCTCATGAATCTGCTATGTGGGGCTGTGGGTTAGGACACATAAGAAAAGATGCACAGGGGAGTTTTAAAGCCTAAAAGACAAACTTCAGAGTAGTTTTTATACTCAGAATGGAGAGGAAGGAGAAGACTGCATCACATTTCCAGTATCTGTTCATCTATTGATTTCACCTCTAGGGTATTATGAAGATGCTACAATGAACCTGGGAGTGCAAATATCCCTTTCAGGACCCGATTTCAATTCTTTTGGATAAATTTCCAGAAGTGGGATTGTTCGATTATATGTTATTTCTATCTTTAATTTTTTGAGGAACCTACATACTGAAAAGTTTTGAATTTTGATGAAGCCTAATTTCTCTCTGTGTGTGGTTTTTTTTTCTGTTGTTGCTCCTGCATTTGGTCTCATATCTGAGAATGTTTCCAATTCATGATTATTTAATATTTACCTTTATGTTTTTTTCTAAGACTTAAGATTTTATTTGTAGCTCTCATACGTAGGTCATTGATTCATTTTGAGTTAATTTTTGATATATGATATGAGGTAGGGATCCAACTTCATTCTTTTGCATGTGGATATCCAGTTTCACAACCCCATTTGTGAAAAGATTGCTCTTTCTTTATTGAATGGTTTTGGTACCCTATTGAAAATCAATTGGCTATAAGATGTATGGGTTTATTTCTGAACTTTCAGTTCTGTTCTTGTCTATACGTCTATTCTTATGCCAATACCACCCTGTTGTAGTTATGGTAGCTTTGGATGAAGTTTTGCAATTGGGAAGTGTGGTTCTTTCAGCTTTTTCTTTTTTAAGATTGTTTTGCTTGTTTGGGACCTCTTGCAATTTCATATGAATTTGAGGATCAACTTTTTAAATCTGCAGTTCACTGTTATTTACTTCTGAGTAATATTTTGTTGTATTACTGTACCAGTTGGTTTATCCAGTCTCCTATTGAATATATTGATGGAGAATGGATAAGCACTTGTATTCTCTCTTATATCTGTGTTTTCTTGATCATGCTAAGGGTTTTGTTTTTACCAGCTCTAATTTGGATGTGCTTATTCTTCAAAAGCACTTGTTGCTGAGGAGCCAGTGGCTTTTTGGCCACTTAGTTTATATTCCTGCTTTAGAAAACAGTGTGTTTTCAAGGCACAATATTCTCCGTTCATGATTAAACTTATCAAGAAAAATGCCAGTTTGAAAGTGTTTTGCAAATACTTTACTGTCTTTCTTTGCAGGTGCCCTTTTTATCTCCTTTGGAAGGTCATATTTATTTAAAAATAAAATGTCAAGTGAATTCAAGTGTTGAAGAAAAAGGTTTTCTAGTAAGTAATCTTTATGTATTTTCTTTTTTTCTGTTTTGTGAAGGTTAGACTTGGATTTCTCGTAGGCAAGAAAGCCTGTGTGATTCAGTGGTAAATTGGTTCAGTAAAGATTCCCTGCATGTCCATTACATGCCAGTGACTGTGCTGGTGTGGGAATGTACTAGGCCACGAAAGTTCCTCTGCTCAGGGACTTTTAGTTTAGCTGGGAGAAGGACAAGTGGACAGTAAATACGATGCAATGCTATCAAGGGCAAAAGCACAGAGTGTGTGCACATTAATAAACTGGCGGTAAGGGAGTGGACGTGAGGAATGGGAGTGCGAGCAACTCCTTGAAACAGTTTGGCTGCAGGTGGGTGAGAAGCGTGTGGTACTTGACAGGATCTTTAGGATAAAAGAAGGATTCCGTTGACATCTTATTAGGCTCAACTTGAGTCTTCAAATACAATGGGTAGCTTTTAATAGGGATGGAGATTGAGGCAGTTCAGGAAGAATTCCTGGGATAAATAAGATCATGAGAGTGAGATGAAATCAGACCCAGACCACAGTACACGGTCACAGGACTGATTTTGTACAGAATTACATTTTTTCAGTTATCAGAGAAACGTACGTGTGAAGAATATGTGGACGAAGGTGGGTGTGGTGCAAGAAGTAGGCAAAGTCCAGTAGCTTCAGTTTCCTCTGTGAAGCAAGAACCTGAATGAAACAAAGCATTTGCAGTGGCTGTGAAAGGTGCAGAAAGGAGCTGGGGTGCCCGGCAAGCCCACGTGGCCTAGTGGATGGTAAACCTGGCTTCCCTGCTAGCTTTTCTCCCGTGCACATCCAGCAGGTGGCACTAGATCAGGGGTCCTCAAACTATGGCCCGCGGGCCACATGCAAATACAAATACTGTATTTGTTCCCGTTTTGATTTTTAACTTCAAAATAAGATATGTGCAGTGTGCATAGGAATTTGTTCATAGTTTTTTTTTAAACTATAGTCCGGCCCTCCAGCGGTCTGAGGGACAGTGAACTGGCCCCCTGTTTAAAAAGTTTGAGGACCCCTGCACTAGATAGTCTTGGAAAAGCCTGTCTATAAATCCCTGTGTTGAAGGTAGTGTTTACTTAGTGACATTTTAATGTAAATATTTCCATATTTTATTAGAGACACCGTTATCCAGTCTCCTACTGACGGTGACTGATGGACTCTGGCAGCTAGTTCATTTTCATATAATGTCTGAGCTCTTAACTAGTTTGTTATATCTCTTCAGGCTTATCCTCACAGAAAGGGCTCTGGACTCTCCCAAATAACTTCTGTCCCCTGTCTAATCAACACATTTTAATTACCTCTGCCCTCTATAGAGTAGAGGTGGGCCCAGCAGGTGTGGCTCAGTGGTTGAGCATTGACCTATGAATCAGGAGGTCACAGTACATGCCTGGGTCTGGGCACATGCCCGGAGTGTGGACTTGATCCCCAGTGTGGGGCATGCAGGAGGCAGTGGATTAATGATTCTCTCATCATTGATGTTTCTATCTCTTTCCCTCTCCCTTACTCTCTGAAGTCAATAAAAATATATTTAAAAAAAAATAAGTTAATTGAAATTTAAGGTGTTCAGTTTCTCTTCCTGACAGCTGGAAGGAAGGAAATGACCATCCAAAGAGCCTTGATAAGTGGTTCTATGGTGCTCCTCCAGCTCCGTCTCCGGTGGTCGGCAAACTCATTAGTCAGCAGAGCCAAATTTTTTAAACTTAAACTATATAGGTAGGTACATTGTTATTAACTTAATTAGGGCACTCCTAAGGTTTAGGAAGAACCACACTCAAGGTGCCAAAGAGCCGCATGTGGCTCGTGAGCTGCAGTTTGCTGACCACGGGTCTTAGACTGATGAGCAGCAAGGGACGAACACTCTGGATGTCTCGAAGGTCCCTGGTCTGTGGTCTGCGTTGTGATGGTGTTGTCATTGGCTTTCCTTGGCCCTTAGTTTTCTCAGCTATAAAAAGGAAAAGCTGTCCCCTTGTCATTCCTCTGATTAGACTAGAGCATAGTGACAACTGTGTTACTCTTCTCCATCTAATGTCCCCTCTGTTACCTTTATGATGTGAAAGGTGAGCAGAAACACAGGAGGGCGCTAGTGAGTCAGTCATGCTGACTCTGTCCATGAGGCTGAAATAAGATTCTTGTCTTATTCCCTTGGGTGGCTGTGTGCAGGTGCTGCCTAGAGAAACCAGGCCTTGGGCAGGAGAGAGGGTAAACTGGGGAAAAGGAAAAAGGTGGGGTAAGAGAGCATATGGTTGGAGTCAGCTAATGAGTGTGAGCTAATTAATTAAGCTATTAATGTGAGGTTTTATTCTATCATGGAGATATTTCTTCACACAGAGTAATTTCCTTCCAGGGCCAGAGATTGCACTGCTAAATCAAGCCACCTTTTGGTAAAACTACACAAGTTTGTGGATGGAGGAGGCTCTCTCCCACTGTTGTTTGGTGTAGGGCTTTGTTGAACCACTTTAAGGTGGAACATTCTTAGTGCATTTTGAAATCACCAAGATACCTTTGGATTACCTACATTAGGGCCAGCAGAGTATCCCCCTGTTTGTTTTCATAAAGTTCCACTAGAACTCAGGCTCATTGGTCTCCATGTTGTCTGTGAGCGCTTTGCACTGCAGCAGCAGCAGCCAGATGAATGGTTATGAAAGAGCCACACAATCCAAATCTCTACTCTCTGCCCTTCACAGAGAAAGCCTGCCCACCCCTGACTAGGGCGCTGGGGCGTTTTTGCCTTGCTCTGTTTCTTAATATAATAGTGTCTAAATGGATTCTTTTCTTAAATTAATAGGAAGGACTTGCATACATTAGGGCTCCATTACGGCTAAGAAACAGTGGGGGTGGGGGAAGCAGCTCCCACTTACACTGTGCATGTAGAAGCTCTTCCATGGAAAAGCCCCCGGTTACTAGTTGGCTGTTTGCCTCTTTTCCAGTCCTGTTTTGTTGTACCACATAGAAATTACATGTCAGTCTTTTGCATTAAGTCTAATTGTTTTTCCAATAGATAAGGCATGACATCCTCAAGTCACTTTACTCTCCAGTGCTTGAAGTACTTTTCTCTTATTTAAGGAGCGTTTGGTCAGGGACACCGTGCTTTTAAAAAGTCCGATATCAGGTAGAAGTACGTACTTGGGGTTAATACGCAGAGGTTCTAAGTGCTGATGCCTGTAGATGCTGCTGAAAATCTGGGCACATGTCTGGGTGTGAGCAGCCAGTGATTCTCACCACTAAGGATGAGACAGGATGGAAGTCACACAGGGAGAGTGTGAAGCAGGGCATATTCCAACATAGTGCGACATTGAGCCAGTGGGATTAACATTTAACTGGTCCCCAAGTGATTAAGCCAGGATCTCCCTGACTTTTCCAGACCATATTTGAAGATGTGAGTGGGTTTGGTGCCTGGCATCGAAGATGGTGTATTCTGTCTGGAAACTGTATCTCCTACTGGACGTACCCCGATGATGAGAAACGGAAGGTAAGGCTGAGGGTGCCGGTCGGTGAGAAGGCCCTGACCTTCCTTGACGTGCTGTTTCAGTAAGTGCTCTATCGGGCCTCCACCACCCGCTCCCCTGGGAGCCTGTTTCTTGGCCATCGAAAACGTGCTGGTTGCAAAATATGTGTGTGTGTGTGTGTGTGTGTGTGTGTGTGTGTGTGCACGCATGCGCGCACAGAAATTTTATATTTTATCCATTCCCTGTGATTTGATCACTCTTAAAATACTGTAAGGCATATATTTGTCTTTCTTCCTAAGTGTTTTATAATATTTTTAATTGACATTTTTAGTCAAAAATATTATTAAATTTACTTTAGTATTACTGTAGCCATGTGGCTTTTTCAATTTATAAAAACTTAAATACTGTGTAATGCTGACTTAAATGGTCTTGTTTACCTTCTGCTAATACTTTTTAAAAATTTTTATTTTTAAAGAATCCCATAGGAAGGATAAATCTGGCCAATTGTACCAGTCGTCAGATAGAACCAGCCAACAGAGAATTTTGCGCAAGACGCAACACTTTTGAATTAATTACGGTCCGACCACAAAGAGAAGATGACCGAGAGACGCTTGTCAGCCAGTGCAGGGACACACTCTGTGTCACCAAGTAAGTATTGGGCTGCAGCTAGTTCTGCCAGCACAGGAACGAACTGCCCATATGCTCTTCCCAGTGTAAGAAATATCAGGGTCATCCCTGTCTTTAGGGGGTACAGGCTTAATAAGAACACAAAACACACATGTAAGTGAACAGTCTAATAACTAAATTAGTCTAGTGAAGAAAAGCTTACCATCCTATACAATAAAAGCCTAATATGCTAAGTGTCTGACCATTCGACCAGTTGCTATGACACACACGGACCACCAGAGGGGAGATGCTCTGACTGGTAGGTTAGCTTGCTGCTGGGGTCTGGCCCATCCGGACTGGGCTAGATTGGCTGGGCATGCCCTGGAGCCCTCCCACAGTCCCTCCCTGACCCCAGTTGTGCACCAGTGGGGTCCCTTAGCCTGGCCTATGGGGATCGGGCCTAAACCGGCTCTCTGATATCCCCCAAGGGGTCCTGAATTGCAAAAGGGCGCAGGCCAGGCCGAGGAACCCCACCGGTGCACGAATCTAGTTCAGGTTATATCTTAGCTAATCATGCTTTCAGTGTTCTCACGGTGTAGCCATTTTTAGGGCAGTTAGCTGATATACTTTGGGTTAAGTTTGAAGAGTTCATGTATAATTGGGAAGCCAAATATTATTTGAAGAGCCTTTACACACCCCTTCCTTTCCATTCCAAAGTGCCCTTATCAATCAGGTGACTTACAAAAGCAGTCATTCTGCTCTGCCAAGTTCTGGTTGGAGGTGAACAGAATGAACTATTGGGAGTGTCACTTTCTGTTAGGCCGAAGCTTA